CCCATTTCTGAAGAAGGGTCCCGACCCAAAACGTCAACTTTCCTACTCATCTGATGCTGCCTGGCTTGCTGTGTTCCTCCAGCTCCACACTTGTAATGTCTCTTACTCCAGCATCTGCAGTTCTTGCTATCTCCAAGGACATTCATAATCAATTTTCTCGCTCTTTATTAGCATTTTTGTCACCCACTGCAGGTTCCTAAAGAAAAAAAGTCCTAATCCTCAGGCCTACGACTAGTTTCTGCTGTTTTCTGCATCTTAGTTTTTGGTTGAAAACTCTCCATTACAAGCCTTTCGTAACCATGAGTATTTCATCCTTCTCATTGAGTCCTTCTTTTTGACTGGAATAAATTTTTGCTGAACGCTGTGGAATGTCTGCTTAAATATCTGCCACTGCTCATCCACTACCTTTTCTTTAATCTGTTTGCCCAGCCCACTTTAGACAGCTCTTTCTTCATATCTCTGTAATTGTGTTTATTTATGTTGAGGAAACTGGTTTGTGACAAAAACAGAAATTGCCAGAGAAACTCAGCAGGTCCGGCAGCATCTGTGGAGACAAAGCAGAGTTAATATTTTAAGTCCAGATGCTGCCGGACCAGCTGAGTTTCTCCAGCAATTTCTGTTGTTGTTGTTTAGCATCTGCAGTTCTTTGTTTTATCTTTGTTTTATTTTATTGCATTGGCTTGAGAAACAAGTTGCTCTCTCTCAAACAGATGTTAAATTTCCACCATGTTGTGATCACTTACACCCCAGCTGCCCCCCGCCAGTGATCCTTGACTACAAGATCTCTTATTAATAGCGCCTCATTAAAACAGTCTGTACCCAGGTAGATTGGTCAATAAGCTGCTCTAAGAAACAGCCCCTGATGTACTCTATGAATCCATCTTCTATGTTACCCTTGTCCTACCTTAACACATTTGTCCAGTCAAAATGCAGATTACAGTTGAATTATTATGGGCTGCCCTTTTACAACAGAGACCAGGAAATCTTTTTTCCTGAGTGTTGTGTAACTTTGGAACTTTCTGCCTGAGTAGGTGGTGGAGGCAGGGTCGTTGAATATTTTCAAGGTAGAGGAAGTAGATTCTTGTAGGGCAAGGGAATCAAAAGATGGGAATGTGGAATTTGAAACAAACAGATCATCCATGATACTATTGAATAATGGAGCAGGCATAAGGGGATGAATGACCTACTTCTGCTGCTAATTTGTATATTAGCCCATGCACATTATCTTGATGACCATACCTCTTGCTCCAAAAATAAATTAATCCAATTTACCTGAACTTACCTTACTGGTAATATCAAGTTATAGTAACAATTTGATTTTATGTTTGTTAATATTCTGAAATGGAAAATCACAATACATTTCTTCCAACAGGAGGATGTCTGTTTTAGTGGCTACCAGAAGCATGTACTGTCCCGTTTGGGACCAGCGCCACTTACAGCAGCTGAGGAGGAGCTGAAGCAGATTAAGATTAATGAGGTACATATTGCCATGCATTTTCCTGCTGTTGCTTTATTCAACAGTTTTTATAGTATGAAAGAACATTGCTCTTTACTTTGTTTATTTCTGCATGGATCAAGAACTAGTTACAGGATCTTGCATATAATTGAAGTCTAGGAAAAAGCACATGTTTCTGTTTGATCTGTGATGGATATCATCTTATTGTATCATTCAGGGTACAGACAGTTGAAAGGGTTGCTACAATTTATTATTCTAAAATGCTTGTTACATTCAATAACGCCTAGGAACAAGTGCAGGGCTTGTTGTGAGGTTTTCAATCAGTCACTCGGAACAGTTCAAGAATTACTGAACAGTCAATTTAGTCAGTAGGATGGAGACATTCAGAAGAGTCCCCAGAGTCAGAAGGCTCAGCTAAGTATTGTGGTTAGAGCTCAGGAATAGTCATATCATTACTAGGTAATTGAAGCTGAGAGCAAGGCAGAAGGAAGCCCACATGCACTATTTGCTTTGTTAGGTTGAGCAAGATTCAAGCTCAGAGAAACTTAGCTTCACCAAGCTGGTATACCCCTAACTGTGAAAAGCTGAAATTATATCTTAGTAGGTGTGGGAATACCAGCAGCACGGTGGCTCAGTGGTTAGTACTGATGCCTCACATCGCCAGAGACCTGGTTTCAATTCCAGCCTCGGGTGACTGTCTGTGTGGAGTTTGCACATTCTCCCCATGTCTGTGTGGGTTTCCTCCAGGTGCTCCGGTTTCCTCCCACAGTCCAAAGATGTGCAGGTTAAGTGGATTGGCCATGCTAAATTGCCCATAGTGTCCAGGGATGTGTAGGTTAGATGGATTAGCCATGGAAAATGCAGGGTTACGGGGATAGGATAGGGAGTTGATTCAGGGTAGGATGCTCTTCGGAGAGTTGATTTGAACTTGTTGGGCCGAATGGGCTGTTTCCACACTGTTGGAATTCTAGGAGTACCAAATCCAAGAGGGCTCAGTCCCAATTGAGAGAGTGAACATGAACAATCATTGAAGCAGCCCATGATGGATCAGCTTTTTGGATTGTTCTGGAGCTAAGTGAATGGTGAAAAATTTGTTTCATTTGTAAAGTTTTGATAAGATTTGATGATCCAAAGTGCCACTAAGGTCTGGGAGAAATCCATGGGATCTGTCTTGACCACATTTATTATTTGATGAGGCATTTGATATTGTTGGTTAACCATATTTATCTTGAGTTAATGCTAATTAAATGTTAGAATATAAGTTGAATGTATTACCCAATTACTGTTCTAACCTTGTAAAATTTGTTGTTGTTTGTTCAAAACCTTGGAATCTTATGGTTTTATTCCTTTAGCAAGTCCCCTGTGTGTCAAATTTTTGTTTTTTTTTAGAAAGTTACTGATCCCTAGCCAGATTGTAACACAAATTTGGCAGTCTGGTCCAGAATCATAACATTTACTGGGAGTAATGAATGTATATCAAAGGACTGTATCAGGCTGTTCAAAAGAATTTAAACAAAGATCCTGTTTCTGTAACAAGTTTTTTTTGGGAATGAACTGTAAAATACTTAATTATCATCAGTGAAGGATGGTGTTTGTTGATGATGAGCCTGTTATTCGTGAATTCAATTAGGATAATAATTGAACAAAAGTACTGCCAGGCACTCTTGAATCAATACACTATTTTAGTAGAATTTCTTATCTATAAACTCATAGGTTAATATGCCCAATATAAGATCTATATGACATGGGTGTATAAGTGCACAGATCATTGAAAGTGGCAGGATAGGTGAAGACAGCATTTAATGCAGCATACAGTATTCTCAGTATTATTAACAGGGGCATGGAGTACAACATCAGGGAATGATATCGAACTTGTGCAAGATGCTTCTTGACCTCACCCTGGAGGATTATGTACAGTTGTTGGTGCAGCATTGTAGGAAAGATATCAATGCATTGAAGAGAACATAAGCGTTTTACAAGAATGGTTCCAGGATGAGCAACTTTAGTAATGAGGATAGATTGAAGAATTGGGACATTTCTTGGAGAGAGAAATGTTGAGCAGGGATTTGATAAGGGCTTTTCAGGATCATGGGCAGGCTGGATAGAGTAGAGAGAAGCTGTTCCCGCTGGTAAAAGAAAAAAGATCAAGAGGGGAGACATTTCAAGTGAGATGCAGACAAAGCAAAGCTAATGTGAGAAAAAAAATCACACAGTGAGTGTAAGGATATGGAATGCACTAACTGGAAATGTGGCGGAGACCGATTCATTAGATGATTATTTGGATAGAAATGGTGTGAAGGGACATAGGAAAAGATCAGGAGCTAGACAGTAGATAGTACACCCAGTCATGCACAATGGGCCAAATGACTCCTTGTGATTCTGGATATTTGATTGCCAACCAGTTGCTTGGATCCATACAAAATCTATTTACAGGTGCCACGATGAGAAATTTTTATAGATCATTGGATTCACATTTATTACAAAGAGGTTTGAACGATGGAGACTTCTTTCTTCTGAGACAAAAGGTTATCTTTTACAAAAACATGTTAACCTGATTGTGACAAAACTATTTCTGTAGCTGTGGGTGACTTTGCTGTCTTTTGCAGGATAAGGTGATCCAGGTAAGTACCTAAGCATTTTCCCTCATTTGCTTTATCTTGTGCCTTATTGAAGTGGACTTGACTAAGCTTTGAATTTTATATAAAGAATGGAATTGGTTATACCAGAGTACTGTACAATGCAACTTTTCTTTCGTATGTGATGACATGAGAAACAGAAGAATTAAAGGGTCAGCGTTACCATAGTAAATTGCCTTCGAAGATGCTTTGCCATATCTGTATTTCAGTACAGGCTGAAGCAGTGTGCAACATGATAATACCACATTTCCAATTGCAGATTACACATTTAAATCGTCACAAAAACAATTAAGATAAGAAAAAAATGTGGATTTGTAAATGTTGTTGCTACAGCAGTCACTTGCATTGATACAGCAGTCATTGTGTAAGCTTGCTGCTGGGTTGCATGAGGAGACATGCAGTGTATTTGAACTGAAAATTTCATGCATGTCAAAGCCCTTTGTGCCAGTTGTAGATTGAGTTTGCTGTATATCCCCTATCATTATCATCCTTCCCTAATGAATTCAGGTGAAAGCTTGGAGCTCAAATATGTCACATGATCTAAGTAGGTGCAGCACATGGTTACAATTGCCTAGTTTTTAGATTTTGCAATGGATATTGACACCATCAACTTTGCCTTTAAGCTGCAAGGGTGCATACCATGCAGCATTTGGGAATATGCCGTGCACAGGCCAAACAGCCTCATACAAATAATAATCCTTTTAAGATACACATGCTGCTTCACTGTGCAGCAATCTTAAGAAGGCTGCACAGTGTGAGAAACAGGCTGTGCACAGCAAAGGAGAATTAATAAGAACATTGGTGCCTACTATTTTAAAACAGACATTTTCACAATTTTCTAATGTTCAGGAATATAAACATTCCACCAAGATTCAATGAAATGTGAGAATTCCTATGTAATTGGGAGCACTGGAATTAACTTGTTCAATACTCTTGTGTAACCTCCAATCTGCACTTACCCTAATAATGCTATGGAGATCACGGATTAGTCACATTAGGAAATGCATGCAAGTAGATTTAAGTAGGAATAGTGTTCTGCAACACCGTGGCATCCTCACCAGTGTCTCAGAACACTCCTCTATCCTGTGTTTTATTGAAGATATACAACTTATTGGAATCTGTTCAACCCAGCACCTCTACCTACCAAGAATGGTACTCTGCATTGAGGTTCACAATCATTGACTACATTACAGGAATCTGTTTGTCCACAGGGGACAATTTTAAGTTCTGGCCCACTCTTCCAATAGCAAAGAGTTGCTTGTTATTTTGAGGCCCCAATCTCATTTAAATTTGGTAGGCGCATTCTCTGAAGTTGAACAGATCTTCCTGGTGTAGCATACTCCTGCACATGTTTTAGAATTGTACCCTTTGTGTTATATTATCTGCCCTTGTTCTTCCTTCCAAAGTGCACCACCTCACAGTTCTTTGCATTGTACTTCATTTGACACTGATTTGCCCACTCCATCAACTTGTCAAAATCTATTTGAAGCTAAATTTTAAATTCCAAGGCTGAGATAGATTTTTAATCAGTGAGGGAATCAAGGGTTACAGGAAAGAGACAGAAAGGTGAAGTTGAGCATTATCAGATCAGCCATGATCTCGTTGAATGGAGGAGCAGACTTGATGGGCTGAATGGCCTATTTCTGCTCTGATATCTTATGCTTTTATGGCCTAAAGCTCTGGAGAGTCACTGAAGCTAGTTAATTAAGGAAACTAGCTTAAACAAGCTTTTTGTGGACCTTGGGTTGAGCTACGTCAGAGCATATAAAAATACAGACATCTCGGTGCGACTGAGAAAAACATACTGGGATTTGGGTGAGCACGGGAGTTATGGGAAAAGGGAAAGGAGATGCTTCTTTGCTTTTTCTAATGTCCTTTAGGGAAAGAAACTGCCATCCTTACCTGGTCTGGCCTACATGTGATTCCAGACCCACAGCAATGTGGTTGACTTGTAATCACCCTCTGGGCAATTAGGGATGGGCAATAAACGCTGCCTAGCCAGCGATGCCCTCATCCCATGAATGAATAAAAAAAACTTTTTCATCCTGAAGGAATTGGTTCTCACTCTCCTACAGGGAACAAGCTGGCTGTTTAGTGTGTCTGGTATGTAGTTAAGGTATTTTCTACTCCTAAAATAGCATAGGTACTAGTGGTAAGATAAGTAATATACGTTTTTAATATTATGAAATAAATTAGTAGTTATTTAAAACACATTAAAGACAGCAGGACTGGTGATATGTCGCTGCTGCAGTGTTTGGGAGCTCCTGGGAGTGTGCTGTGACACTTCAGGATGGGGGAGAGTTACCAGGATGTTTTGGGCCAGGAGGCTGTCACACCCCTCAAGGTAGGGTCTTCTCATTTGATCAGTGGCAGGGAAAGTGAAGT